AATTAACATATTATCAGTTGAAAGCGTTAACAAGAAAATTTAAGTTTTTACTTGTTTATATATTCAAAGTATATTCTAAGTGCATCACCCAAACATGCCAGGGAGGAAGAGGTGTGGAATTACCAAAGGTTTCCCAGTCTGGCAACCTGAGAATGGAGTCTATTCATCTGATGTTGAGCTTCTTTCTGAAAAGCAGTTTTTTACATCTTCAGAAAACAAGAGAGCAAAAATACCTAACAAGGGAGATTGGCCTCCCGTGAAATCCATTGAAATTAGTGAAAATATTTCTATTGACTTCCCTGGCATTTAGATAAGCTCTTTAATGCTTCAATAATAATTATTTTTAACACAGTCATTCTTGGATAAAAATCTTGTGATTCACTAGTGCTGTGCCCAACACCTGGGGCTGGTGGCTGGCACGGTGCTGCAGTGCTGGGTCCCTGGGCTGAGCCGGGATTTTTGGGGAGAAATGAAAACACTGCAAGCTGTGCCTCACCATAATCCCTGTGTTGGGCTTGGCCTTCCAGCAATCCCTGACACAGCCCCAAAGGTCCAACCAGGGTCTGCAGAATTAGCTCAGGCTGGCTTTGCACTTCCCAGCAGAGATTTACAGAGGAAATGCAAAGAGTTGTAGTTAGTTTATTTCTAACCTCAACATACTTTGCTGTGAAAATGACCAAACGGGGGATCAGTTTCAGTGTCCAGCTTTATGCTGAGGTTTCATTTGCTTTGGAAATTTGGGTACCTGGGCTGTTAAATCAGGACCACAAGGTTTTCTGTCCAACATTAATTTTTTGGTACTGTCTTTAACTGTATTGCTGCAAGCTCTAAATATCAACAGCCACACTGTTTCATCCCTGTCTGCTGATGTTTTTAACTTCTGTATCTTCAGCACACGTCGGAACAAGCACCCAGTATTTGTTGACATTTTATCTCCAGCTTTCCCATATTTTCGGATCTGATACCTGGCTGCTCCACACCTGAGCACATGTACCCATCCTGTTTTCTTTTAACCATCCCTCTCAGTTGCACAACTGGCCCCTCTTGCATCACCAGCAGGCCACAACAGAGGCTTGGGGAGCCAAAGGACTCCAGAGAGCTGGGAGCCCTCTGTGTCAGGCAGAGCAGCACTCAGATCCTGCTCAGATAGCCAGGCCAGCCTTTCAAAGGTGCTGATCTGACTTGCATATTTGTGACAGGTGTGGCCAAGCTACCGATAACACCAGCCTGAGACATTCCTTGTTTTGGCTGCGTGCTTTAATTGTCCCCCCACGATTTTTGGTGTCTTGCTTATTTTCTCATGCAGCTGATGTCCTCCTCCACCCCACAGCTCTCAACTCCCTTTGTCTCCACCTTTGCCAAGGACTATGCCAGAGGGAGTGTCTGATGATCCTCATCCACCATAGCTCCAATTGACTGCCACACTCACCATGCCAGGGGTTGTTTTACACCAGCAATTTCTGAGCCCTGTGTTCAATTCGGCCTTCTTAGTTAGGCCAGATTAAGCCCTGTGTTAAATTAGGCCAAATTAAGTCAGAATTTGTCTTCAGTGGTTGTGCCTCCAAAATGCAATACTGCTTCTAAGAATGAGGAGAGGCTGATGTTTACACACACATCACCTGCGAGTGACTTTGGATTGTTTTTTAAGGAGAGGAAATGCAATGTTTTCCCACAGTCAAGGCACACAGTCTGTTTCATAGCAGAATTATTTTTCAAGGGTGTTCTTCCTTTTCCCATTTTACAACCTTTGATTGCACATCCAGAGCTTTGGCTTCCTCTCCAAGCAGCTGCCTTGCCAAGGCATTTGAATTGTGAGCTGGAATTTCCAATGTTTGAAATTAGCATCTGGGCTAAAACCATTCACCAAAGCCTTTGGGTAGTAGATTTGTGAGAACTATGAGCCTGGGACAAAGATGACTTGAAGTTCTGTGGGCAAAAGGGCTATGAAGCATATCCAGCAAATATTCAAAACGCTTGATGTCTTTTAAGGGAGCTTTTAACATTAATTTAACATGAATGGCTAACAAACAGCAGAGATTAAGTCCTTCAAGGATGACCAAAGGTTCTTCTTATGGTCATTTTATCAGTAGGGATCATGGATTTTATAAATCTAATGGAGCAACCACATTCACATCCAAAGAGCTGCAGCAATTCTCTTGACTGTTTCAGTGGACACTTAAAATACCACTATTCCCCCCTGCCTTTTTTTAAGCTCTGCCCCCCACTCTCCCCCTTCCAGCTCCTCAGGTAATTAACTGGAAATGACCCAGTTGCAGCATTGTCAAAGGTCTGACACCCATCAAACCCAGGAAACTCAGGCTCCTTGAATGCTCCCCTGCTTACCCCGTGCTGTTGTGCTTAGGGTATTACAGGGGGCTACAAAAAGTGCTTGATCAGATATACTGTACCTTATGTTCCCAAATACCAGCACACAGCAGCATGACTTAGGGATAGGATTTCAGCCTTCATAATGAAGAGTCTTGCTTTTATGAGCTCAAGTCAGACCCTTAACGTTATTTTAACATAGATTTTGGTGTTTAATTATGTAATAAGATTTACTGCAGTCATCCAACAGATGTTGATTCAGGGTCAGTGTTTCTCGTAAATTAGTTCTGAAAGGATTTGTTACTTCTGGGTCAGCAGATAGGTCCAGAGTGCAAAGAAAAAGGGGAAAAACAATAAACACTGAGTTGAAGGGTTTCTTGGGATTCTTTCTTCAGTTACATATCCACATATTTTCATGATCTTAATGACTATAGCCACAGGAATGTTTGCTTTAACACTAAAGATGGCTCAGGCCAAAACCCTATATCCAAACATCTGCAAAGCATGGGAAAGTTCAAACTTTGGGGCTCTTTATTTTATGACCCTGGCTGTTATTTTTTCATACTAACACGACACATTTTTCTAGGGCTCAGCAGTGGGAATTGCTGTGAACTTTAGCAGCACCCCAAAAAGTTTCATCTTCATGTGCTTGTTGTGTTTAAAGTGCCGCTAAAGGCCAGTGTTGGTTGATGTAGTTGTCATCACACACGTACTGAAAAACTGCACCCACCTTCCTCTGGATTCGGCCTTCCCATGTCTTTGGAAGCAAATCAGATTTGTACATCCTACTGCTAACAGCTGCAACTAAAGCCACAGAGCATTATACTCATTGTTCTACATTTGTGGTTAAAGGAGTGATTCCATATTAAAGTATTTTTCATTCCATTTTAATTTAGTTGCAGATAAATTCCTTTAAAACTGAAATTATGCTCTTTATATCTTATTCTGTTAGGAGTACTTTGGAGGAAAGGGATTGAGGCTTGTTTAATAGTGTTGCTAGCATGTCTCGGGCAGCTGTAGCCTGCCAAGTCTTTCACAAACACTGGTGAATATTCACAATATTCCTCCACATCAGGGTATAAGACACTAAATGTTGCCCCTGAGATGTTTTAGTAGAGGTGCAACAGAGACTGCCCAACACATAAAACCATTTGCTGTACTTAATCACCTTTGTCTTGGAAAGTTTAGAGGTTTCGTACCTAAAAAACTCCTCTAAGATGAATCCCAGCTATGAGTAAGAGCTCTGAAGCATTTCCCTGAGCAGCAATCACACAGTGGCAAACTGGACTGCTCACAGAGGGGATGTGAGAGAGGAGGAAGAGTCCATGGCCAGCGGCTGAGCCTGGGCCACCAGAGCAGTGCTGAACCTGCTCCATGGACACAGCCCCGCTCCCAGAGCCTGCCCACGCTCTGTCCCTGCCATGGGGACACCCTGGCCAGGGCTGATCTGTGTTTGCACCACGCAGAGCTGTAAATTCAAACAGCACTTTCCAGACCCGGCCTTGAAACTCCTCTTTTTCAGGAGTAATTCCCTTTAAGTCAATGGATTTACACAATGGATTTGCTGCTGCCAGAAGAAAATCAGGCCTGTAGAAAGACACACATTCTTCGCCAAGGAAATCTCAGAGCTAACTACTTGAATTGTGCAGTCAAGCTGCAGAGAGGTCAAGTGGACAGACGACAGGACTGGGACATATAGGAAGTCCCTGGTTCAAACCTCAGCTCTTAAAATGTCATGTGTTGTGACCTTGGGCGAGTCAGTTCATCCCCTTATACCTCCATTTCCCCCTTTTCCTTTGTCTGACTTGTCTGTTTAATTTGGAATTTGTTCCAAGAAGGGTGCCTAGGCTCATGTGTTGGGCTGGGGCACTGACACCTCTCCTCCCCCTTGCTGGAGGACTGGCTTGAAGTCTTTGTTTGCTCCCAGCACTGAGCCCCTGCTTCCGTAGCACAAGCAGGGTTCCACGGGACCACCAGCTGCCCCTCAGGGGACAGGCAGGCCTGTCACCCCGTGGGATAACACACATCCATCCCAATGCCGGCCCGGGAGGATCTGGCACTTGTTATTTCACTTGTTATTTCAGTCAGGGTTGGGAGGTGGAAGAAAGTCCTCACTTTGAGCAGTTTCTTCACAGCCCTGATCACTAAAGATCTTTTAAAATGAAAGCTTTGACCCTACGGAGCGGAGCCATGAGCTCGTGATGAGTTCAGCTGGCACCAAATGTGGGTCACTGGCATGAAAAGCCTCAAGGGCTGGAATTTGTGTCTATAGTGTGTGGGTATGTGTGTGTGTGTGATTGTCAGGAGCAGAGCCAGGCCAAGAACCAGCACTCCTGAAAAGCCCCATCTGTTTGTCTCAGCTCCTTCCCACAGCAGCTCGGTCCTTATCGGTGGCAAACGTCCAGAGTCACTTGTCAAGCACAAAGCTGCCAAAAATCATTAGAACACAATGGCCCCCTGTACCAGCCAACTGGAAAACTGTTCCAAAGGGAGCCTGATAAACACATATATGCCCACAATAGCCCAGAGAGAGGCAGGTATTTCCTCTGTGCTTTATTGACCTGAGCAGCCCCATCAGATATTCCCGCCCTTCTCTGTTGTGGCACTGGCAGCGCGTTTGATGGCGAGGGGAAGGGGAACAAAGCAGGTGGCTAATGGGCTCTTTTCTGTTCCAGTGGAGCATGACAGAGAGTTCCACCACCAGCGCTGCCACTACCGAGAGTTCAGGTTTGATCTCTCCCGAATCCCGGAGGGGGAGGCGGTGACGGCGGCCGAGTTCAGGATCTACAAGGATTACATCCGCGAGCGCTTCGACAACGAAACCTTCCAGATCAGCGTCTACCAGGTCCTGCAGGAGCACCCGGGAAGGTGAGGGCCCACAGGGAGACCCTGCTGGGAGCACAGGCTGCTTTGGTCCTGCAGGTGCTCTCGGAGATGCTGGTGCCAGCAGAGCAGCGCTGGGCTTGGCTTTGGGGCGTGCAGGGGATCCCAGCCCGGGCTGCTGCAGCAGCTCCTGCGTGTTGAGATGTGGCAGAGGTGCCCTGGAGCATCCCCAGCACTCCTGCTCTGGCCCCTGGGAGCACTCAGTAGCCAGGCCATGTGCCAGTGCAGAAAAAACTATCATAAACCAGGAATATTTCAAGATTTCTGGAAGTACTCCCCCTTTCCTCCTGCCTCTGATGGATCCTGAGGTGGCAAACCCAAATGCTTCCTTTGGAATTGTAGCTTAATTACTAGCCCTTATTATCAAAGGCATTCAAGCTCCCTAATTAACAAAGACAGATGACACCATGCTTTTTATATTGACTGATTGTTTTGCATGTGCAAAACTACAAGATGAGCCATTAAATCCCTTCCAAGCAATTATTAATGTATGCCAAGCTCCCCTGACAAATCCTCCAGGGAACTTGAATAAGAACATATGTTCAATTTTCTCATCTGGTTTTAGTTTCAATTAATCAGTAATCCCAAACCACTTATCAAAGGCACTTAGTTTCATTTGCACATATTTCTTCAACATACAAATCCTACCCAAAGTAAGATTGCATTTATTTATGTGAAAAGTATTTACAATCACATTCTAGTCAGAAGTTATTCTTTAGGACTACTAAATATGGGCTAATAATACTACAGTCCTAATTTAGGTTTATGAAAAGAGAAACACTAGGGATTTAAAAAGTGGAAAGTCCAAAAGGGAAAGAAAAAATATATAATCAGGACTCTGGCTTTATAGTTTTATAAGGGCTAATAAAAATGCAGAAAAATTGAAATATGTCAGGAAACCTTGACAACTTTTTTTTAATAGTGAGAATTTCTACCAGCTTTGCTGGATGGCAAAAATATTTAACCACTGGTGCGTTTTCTTCCACATCTGAAAATCTGATTTTATAGCTTAAAACTCACGGTTCTCCTGGCATTTCTAATGATGCAATTATTTGCAGTGTTTGGGAACTGTGCTAAAACTAATCTATTTTTATTAAACAGTGGTAATTCAAATGGTACATTTTAACCAGATCTTCCTTCAAGGAGAAGGCAACAAGCCAGAGCCATGCACAGGACCCATCAGATGTCCTGCTTACCCTAAACATTTCAGTTTATTCCCTCTTAGGCCATTCCAGAGGCAGCAGCCTGCCTTTGCTGTATTTCTTGAGTGGGTTATTTAGGTGCAGGCCTGCAGGGATATCCTTCCAGCCTTGGGAAGAGCAGAAACTGCAGATGTGCTGGCAGAGGAGGAGGTACCAACCTGTGTGCCAGGGCACTGGGCAATTGCCAGGAACCTGTTCTGGAGTGAATGACCTTCCTCATCAGATGCCAGGGAAGCTCCCCCTCAGGTCCTGGTGAGTGAGGTGCCCACTAGGAATCTTACTGACAGAGTCAGGGTGAGATCTGATATCTTAATTTTACAGTGGTGCATCCAAAAATTGGTTACAGCTTTGTTTAGAGAGGGTGGGAAGGTACTGCTGGGAATAGCTGTGTGTGGAGCAGCAGATGTTTCTGCAAACTGTCTCCTCCACTAGTTCCTATTCCTAAAGGAAAAAAAAACATGTGCAAAGGGTGGGCATATACATCAACCACTGTCTGGAAGAGGTGAGGAATCTTGCTAATGATACAGATGTTCCAGCTACAAGATTAGATGCAATTTTACTGCATCATATTCACCACAGCAACACTATTTTTAATGAGTCTCCATGCATATTCCCCTTTTTGCATACATTTTGGCACAGGCCATGACGAGTTTTGAACAGTTTCTCCTGAAAAAATATTCCTGTTGGTTTGGATTGACCAAAGGTAAAAATATTGTCACTAACATTTGTAAAAATATTTGCTCTTTTTCTGCATTTTTCCACTGACATTTTCCACCCGGCTCTGTCACAGCCCAGTCATCCAAGTCAGTGTGTCATTGGGCAAGTGGAGAAGGAAAACAAACTCTCTCCAGTGTTGATCAAAAAACACCCATTGACTTTGATGCTTCCTTGGCTGTTTGTCTCATCCTGAGCCGTGGAAAGTCAGCCCCATCTGACGTTGTTAGCAACAGGAGCAAAACAAAGCCAAACCCTCCCATGCAGGCAGGGAAACCTCTGCTGCCTTTGGGTTTCCTTCTCCCAGGGCTCTTCTGACACAGAAGCACTGCTGGAATTGCCTTTTGAGCCCTGAAGCTGAAATGCTCCAGGCTGGTGCTGCTCCTGTGCAGTGCCCAGGGCACAGCAGCTCCTGCCAGGCTCCGGGGGCAGCTCAGCATCATCTCAGACACAGCAGAGAGCAGGACAGCTCCCAGAGCCACACAACAGCACAGGCTGAGCTGGAGAGCTCAAGCTGGAGAGATTTTCCTCTGTGAGATGTGCTGAAGGCAGGATTTTCAGTTAAACCACAGAAGAACCTCCAGTTTGGAGGGTGTGATGGTGCCCTCAGCTCACATAAAGCAGAGGTATGAGCAGATCAGCAGTTAATGACTTCACGAGTTCAGACAGGTTGGAGGTATCTAACCAGCAACATCTCTTGTGTGCACTTCGTTGTCAGTGAAAAATACAGGCTGGGGTGTTTCCAGAGCAGCAGCTGCACCCCCAACAGATTATTCCTGAAATCCTGCCCCTCAACAGCTCCAGTGTTCACAGGGTAGAACCTCTTCCCCATCCACCTGCTCAACCTAACAACCCTGGCAGCAAAAATGAGGGCCCAGCCCTTCCTTTGCAGCAGATGAGATGCCACTTGACTTTGGACTGCCAGAAATTACACCTCTGTCAGACTGAAGATATCATTACAGGAAATCAGGCTAAATGGTCAAATATTCTTTCTCACTTTTTCAAATCTTTTGTTGCAAGGCAAGCTCTTCGAACTGGCAACATCTCCTTGATAAAAAGGCGTGCACAGCATTCTTTAGGCACACAGCATCAGTGGTTCACTTTAGGCAAACAAGTACATTCATGAACAAAAATGCCCCAAATATCACAAACACTGATGATGTTTTAACTGGTATAACATGTCTCAGAGCTTTCAAGTGCATAGCTCAAAGTCCAGTGACTCACGTCCAACTTCAGTTTGGACTTTGTGGCTCTCTCACCCAAAAGCCTGGGAAGGTGTTTTACAAAGCCAGTGCCTGACTTGAGCAGGGTGAGAGCAGCAGGACATCCAGTCCACGTTGGTGGTGACAAACCCTCCTCAGTGGGAGCTGAAGGCAGCCACTGGGGAGCCAGAGGCTGCTCAAGTCTCCTCCTCCCTGGAAAAGGAGGGAGAGCAAAGCAGATCCCAGTGCTCAGTCAGGGCATCCCCCTCAGATTATTAACCTGAAGCTGCAGAAAAAATGCAGACTGCAGAGCAGCCCTAAGGCTCAGAGCTCCATCCTGCTTTCCTGTCTGCACCTTTTGAAGCCGAAATGCCTCACCCCAGAGTTACATCTCCTATTTCGTTGGACCCAACTCTTGCACTGCAGAGTGAATCCCAGCCCCTTTGAAGTCGATGGGAGTTTTGTTACTGGAGAGAATAAAACCAGGTACTTGACCAGCCCTTGGTAATTGAAATGCAGTTGTTACATGTTCACTTTGTGGCCATTATGGATTTCACGGGCTTCAAAGGCAGTGATTTGAATGCTCATGTTACCAGCCCTACAGAAAAATCGGATCTTGCAGGACGCATTCCTGCGTTTGACTTGCAGCTGGAACGCTTTAGCTTGAGCTTCAAACTACACCACTGCTGCACCAGATCAAACCTGAGCCCCTCTCCAGACCCCTTTCTGCCATTTGTTGGGGTCTGGTTCCATGTTGTGGGTTGAAACATGTAATTCTAGTACCTAAAGAAGGCTTAGGCTCACCCAACCCATAAAGCAGATGTGACTTCTTTTTGGGGCTTTTTTAAGTACCAGTGTGATCGTTCTGAGGATGGTGCAGCACAGTTGGATTGAATGATGAGCCCCAGCACCATGACAGTATCTACAAATACTGACAATAACTTTGATTATAATTTTTTGGTGACTTATCTGCAGCTCAGTCGATAACTACATTTATCTCTCAGCAAGTAGCGAGGAAACTTGAGCATAGAGATCCTGCAGCTCTCCAAGAACAGAGCTCTGTCTGGTTTGCTCCTTCAGACCATTCCTAAAAGCCACTGCAGCCTGCAAAACCTCTGACAAATCTTGAACTTAGCAAGGCACAACTCTTCACAGGCACTTGAGGAGCTGCAGGAGGCATTTTGCACACCCCAGTGGGTCCTTGCAGGGTAAGTGATGCACTAATGAACAGCCCTTCAATGCTGAGCAGAAACAGCTGTACAGAAAGTGTCAGAGATGTGTGTATAACCTCATTTCTCCCAGCACTGTTTGTACAAGAGGCTTCATGTTTAGGAAACATCTCAGTAACAAACTCCCATTGCCACTTTCAATCAGCCTTTGAGATCTAGATCTTACCCTTCTCCAACACTGTGTAAGAAAGGCAGCACAACTGCTAGAAGCACACAAAGCAGAATTAAGAATCTGCTGCAATTTTAAAGTGAATTTATTTTTTCCCTAGATTCAGCAGAATTTACACAGATCTGTTTCAGTACCACTACAGCCAGTTTTCAGGTCAATCCTTGGAAAACACCTCTGGCAAACTGAATTCCTGCTGTGGACATCCCTTCACCTGGCAGAGCCCCCGGGCTGTGTTGGGCTGGTGGTATGGGGGGAGCTTTTATCAGTGGGGAGAGCTTTTATCAGTGGGGAGGGTTTTTATCAGTGGGGAGCGTTTTTATCAGTGGGGAGGGTTTTTATCAGTGGGGAGAGCTTTTATCAGTGGGGAGGGTTTTTATCAGTGGGGAGAGCTTTTATCAGTGGGGAGGGTTTTTATCAGTGGGGAGGGAGAGGGAAGGATGAGCAGGGGATCCCAGGCACAGGGAAGGGAAGGTGTGGGAGGAGGGCTGCATCAGGTCTGTGTACAGAGGGTGTTGCAAACGTGCCAGGGAGAGGCCCAGGGAGATCCTGGGGCCCTCTCAAAGTAGGAAAGTCTGAAAAATATTTTCCTAAGCTTGTCTTTGGACAGCTGCAGCTGACTTTAAGCAATGACACCAAGCAAACTGGAATCTGGATACGGCAGGTTTTTAATCCAAACAGATGTCTTCTAACCCCACATCTCCTCTCACCCTCCCAGGGTGCCCTTTTTGCCTTCTCCTCCCTCCACCTGCTGAAACCTGGACGTGAATAACCCCCTTCCCCCATGCCAGCTCTGTCCTTGGGCTGCCTGCTGGAAAACTTGCACCATGCCTGTGACCCAAACAGCCCCTCTAGGGTTAGAATATGAGTAGAGAGGAGAGGATTGTGCTGCTGGCTCAGACACTGTGGTTCACATGCTGAATCAATAAGAATTCAACATACCCATGCCTCAAGTGTTTCCTGCTTTAAAACAGAAGCAGGAGGGTTAACCCACATTTGTAAAGCCATCCAAAGGCTGTTGCAAGGAGCCTCTGTATGGTTCTCGTTTAAAGCAGTGATAGGTTTGTAATTCCTGCAGGTAGAGGGGGGATCAGGGCAGCCCAGCTCTTAGGGCTGAGGGATTCCCTGTCCCTGGTGCAGGCAGGGCAAGCAGGACCTGCTGCTGTCAGGACAGAGCCAGGTGAGCCTGAGGGTGCTCCCAGCACCCAGTGCTGGCTGCTCACAAAAATCACCTTGCCTTACAGTGTAATGGAAATTGCCAAGAGTCACCTTCACTGCTGCTGCCTGTCCTTTTTCCCATTTATTTTTATCCCTCTTGGAAGTGCTCATCAGTGTTTACTACCACTTGTCAACCAGCAGCTTGAAATAACAGGGCTGATGAGCAGGATGGGGACAGTGAGTGAAGAAAATAGACTTAAAAGCAGGGACTGTTTGGCAAGAGGACTGTCCTAAAATAGTGTAGACCTTACAGCATTATAGTCTATAAATGCAGAGCTTTATCTCCTGTTCTCTTGCTAATGCAGAATTTTTATCTCTCATGTTTTCATCCATGTTCTCCTCATGCCCCAGCTCACCAAGGCAGGGGACTGGGGCAGATGCAGCACTTCTCATTTTTGGATATATATCTAGTGTTTATGACTTCAAACCAAGCTGTATCCCAGGGACTGAAAAAGTACCGCAGCAAAAAGCAAAGGAGCCATACATACTATTTTCATAAAGCTTCACTGTTGTTAATCCTTTATTTTAGAATTGCCATGTTGCAACAATTCCCTTTATCCCACACCTTCCCTGCCTTATTCTCTTATTTCTGTGCTCACCCCCACAATCCTCACTTCTTCCAGTCCTTTTCTCTTCCACCCAATATTTGTGATCCCTTTCCTTACCACCATCAGCCCTTTGGCAGGTCAGCCCTTCCACCTCCAGAGCTCCAGCTGCTTCCCAGACACGACCTCACATGCATCCTGCCCAGCCACCCTCACGCTGCAGTGCTTGTTACTCACCCCTGAGCCCAGAAAACAAGTTCACTCAGGAAGTTTCACAGACCACACAGCACTTACATGACCTGCAGACAAATTTTTGGGAGTGCTTTCTAACAGGAGGTGACTCTCCTGTCTGGCATCCAGTGTGAGACACTACCAAAGACATCAGCAGGCAAATGCCAACCTCCTGTCTTCATCTCAGGCTCCACTGAGAGCCTGATACTTGAGACAACCGAGCAGAAAGCCCCAAATTTTATCGTTGCTAAAAGCTCCGACACTCCCGCTGATGTCAGTTCTTTGAACGCTGAGCCATTTTGATGTGGTCTCAACAGAACATACTTGTGGTCTGGATCCAGACTTTGCAATTTATGTAACTCTAATCTAGACATTAACATTTCCATGTCCCTGCTTAATTTTTTTGGTAAAATGAGGATCATGTGCCTTTCCTATCTCTCGCTCTGGAAAAAGGCATGGTGCAGTTTCTTGCATGCATTGAAATTCTAAAATGAAGGAAATGAATGCTGGGCCAAGGAACCAAAGGGGTTTTTTTGCCTTCTTGCTGCAGAGCCATCATTCATAGCTCCAGGAACATGCTCTGTGAGTACACAGTCAGAAAACGAGGTACAGGAGTGAGATGTGCACTAGAAACCTTTTCTCTTTGGGCTCAGATCTTTATCTCACACTAAAACCCAAAGCAGCCACATTAGTTAGAGTTAACCAGCACTACCTTCTGTGACAAGTCATTAGATGGGAGCCCTCAGAATAAATGCTGTTTAAGTCTTAGCAGAACAACATTTCTTTGCTGTGTTTACTGTGTCTTGTCCAACAAGGATATCTCTAGAGCTGGCTGCCTATTAGCTGGTGATTTAATGCTGTTTGCCTGACTTTGGAGAGCAGGACATTCCACTTAAAGGAGTTTTCTTTAAGAATGAGAGGTTTCTTTTCATCTGAACAGGAGCCACGTCTCAGGAGCCTCTGCTTGCGACACCAGTGAGGTTCTGCATCCCACCCCTGGCGAGCCAGGGCAGAAAAGCATTAATCCAGGAGTGCTTGAACTCCTCAAAAGGGCACCTGACACAGGGCTTTTTTGGGGTCCAGATGTTCCAACTGTGTGTGGGAAGGACATTTCCCTTCAGTGGGTCCCTTTGATCTCTCTCACTTCGGGCTTCCCCTCCAGGCCTATTGTTTGCACATTGCTGTAACTACAGGAAAACAAACGCTTTATACAATTTCCCAGACTGACTCATCCTGGTACTTGATGCCTCCTCATGTAGTCTGCTTACCCCGATTGCATGATGTCAGCATGGGAAGCTTAAAGGCTGTTTTTACTGAGTAATAATACTGCAGCTGAACAGTAGCTAAAAACAAAAAAATGATCATGATCTCTACTATCATCAACCTGCAAACTACAAGGGGAGAAAATCAAGCAAGCCAAGTCCCTGTTAACAAAACCTTGTGTGAATCATGAGTTCCAGTCAGGGGCCATGCTTAAATAATGCATGTGTGAATAAAAACCCCTTTACTCCTGGAAACTTGGCCTCAGCCACTGGATCTAGGGCTTCTTCCACAAAGCAGGGCTTTGCTTAAACACAAGCACTAATTGCACCCTCAGCAGCACCAGCTGCTCAGCCATGGGCTGCCCAAATTTCTCCTGCTTTAGGGAGGAAACACAGAATTTTCTTCCTGCACGCCCTGGGCTGTGTGCAGAGCTCATGTGCTCTGCAGGAACTCATTTAAAAAATTTAATTTCATGTAAGCCAGCACAATCAGAGGTGGGTGGTGACACCCCTCGGCTCACATCATCATCTCTTACACACTCTGGCTCACTAAGGTTGAAAGGAAAGATAAATAGTAAAAGCATTGCAAAACCCCCTCCATTCCTCTTCTGCGTGGGACAAAAGCTTCTAATTTCTTAGTATGTCAAAAGGGAACAAATCACTAAAAGCTGTGAGTCAAAAGCCCTTATGCCAACTTTGCTTTGCTCAGATTCACTTCTGATCACTTGATGTTTCGTGCAAACAGGAGGCACTGTGTAAACCAAGCTGAATATACATATTTGCACTGCCAAATCTATAGTGACCAAATTCATAAGGCCTTTTAAAGCTTTGAGGATGTGATTAAAGGGTTTTTCAAGGATAGTTCTTAATTCAAAAGGATATAATTACGCTTGAACAAGTGATCATGTTTGTTCACTGTAGGTACAAAAGCAGCTCTTACAGGACTTGTCTAGACACTTCCACCATGTGTCTTTGTTCTTCTTTTAAAGTAATTTCTTATAAAAGAATTGCAACAGCATCCATTTTTTAATCTGAGTTTTATCTCCTTCTTTTCTGGTAAGAGAAGACTCCTTCCTTTACAGAACCTGTATTTTCTCAAATTTTAATTTTTCAGAAATTTGACAGGAAACATCTTGTAAATGTGAAATAATTTCACTTGTTTCAAAGGAACAGAATCTCTCTATGTAGGATCTTTTTCATTTTCTGGTATTATTTCTCCAGCTAGAGTAACCCAGCAGTGGCCTTTAAAAAAAAACCCAAGCAATGAATTGAAAAAAGATTGTAACCCACAGTAGTGCAGACCTGTGACTGTGCAGAGGGTTGGTTATTGCCTCTATCTGTTATCTGCAACCTCAGATGAGCAAATTAAAAAAAAAACCCTATTACATATGTTAATGTATGCACACCAATGTTCCAGCTGGCTTGCACCAGCACTACAGTTATGCATAAAAGTCAGGAAATTATGTGTGGAAAGGCTAACGAGCAGCATTGTCTGCCCAATTACCGGATTTGCATATGCAAACAGTAATTCTGCAGATCTGGGCCTGGCAAGCCTTTTTTGAAGTTGCATCAGGAGCTCAAGGTTAGCAGCAAAATAACCCAAAACCAGCCTAGCTCTGCTTCAACCCATCGAGGAGAGGAGAAGGAGAGGAGAAAGAGAGAGAGGAGAAAGAGAGAGAGGAGAAAGAAAGGAGAGGAAAAAGAGAAGAAAGGAGAAGGAAAGGAGAGGAGAAAGAGAAGAGAGGAGAAAGAGAAGAGAGGAGAAAGTGAGAGAGGAGAAAGAAAGAGAGGAGCAAGAAAGGAGAGGAAAAAGAGAAGAGAGGAGAAGAGTTCATCTGACAGTGCTTAGAGGGGAACACTGACCAGCCCAGCTCTGCCTATCACTGAAATCCCAACCCCATGTGCTGCCTAAAAGATGTTTGTGGGGACTCCAGAGGAAATCCTGGCTAATTGGGACTTCTGCTTTCTGTTTCAGGGATTCAGATTTGTTCCTGCTGGACTCCAGGACGATCTGGGCTGCAGAGGAAGGGTGGCTGGTGTTCGACATCACCGCGACCAGTAACCACTGGGTGGTGAATCCCCAGCACAACCTGGGCCTGCAGCTGTCCGTGGAAGGCATTGATGGTGAGTGTCACCCACCAGCACAAATCAGGGGCTCTGTTTCATCATTCCCAGCCAATGGAGGCACTAGATATCATATGCTGTAAGTACAGTAGGATTTTGATGCAACATTTTATGCTTGGGCAGTCCTCAAGGCGTTAAGTGAAGTCAAATAGCAAAATAAATCAACCCCCAACCTTTCTTTGTATCTGTAAATGATCTCTAATCATGAAGCAAATGCAGTCTATTTTTAAAAAATCATACTAAATTATTGAACTGAGAGCCCTTGTCCCACTCTCCCCGGCCAGGTAGCCCTGCAGGGCTTCTCCAGGAAAGCATTAGCTGTCCTTTGGCATGTTGTCCTTTGGCATAGCTCTGGCATTAGCAAAAGGATCACAAAACCATTCCCATAAATTGGATTTAGCAGCAGCACTCCGTGGCTTGGGACAGAATAATCCTGGGTATCATCTCTGCATTTCACAGCAGCACCCAGACATCCCTCGAAAGCAACAAGGAGAAACATTAAATTTCTCACTGCCACCCTCTCCTTGCCTTTTTTGTAAATAATTGGTTTAATTCTACAGAGAAACCTACTGATTGTCTTTTACCAAAAATCAAATTATTCTAGAGCCCAAGATGAAGGATGAAGATGAAATCATGATGATTATCATGGGTGATAATCAAAGTTTTGTACAAAGTTATGGTGGTGGCAAGATGCAGCAATAAGCAAAATGTCTCTAAACATTTGTTTCTCTCAGCTGAGGTGTATCTGGAACTCTGTCAGCATTTCATACAAGGCATTTTTATTTTAAGCTAATAACCTTCCAGTGGGAATTTAGTGTTCCTATGGGCTGAGTTTTATGGCTCCTTTTATAGGATCACTTCAAATTATAGGTTGGTGAACTTGAAGAAACCCCTCTAAAGAATGCAGGAAAAGTTAACACTGAGCGGATTTGGGGTAAAATAATTATACGTAGGACTAGTTAATGCAGCCTTTACACACAGATATAAAATGAAGTTAGCTGTGCTGAGCTGCTCTTGTCAGAAGCAGCTTTGCCTATTAAGCCTAGGTTTTTGGAGTGTGGATGGCTGTGGGTCTCAGATTCAGTCAAAGAAAGAAACTGAGAATTTCTAGCCAGGCAGAAGCCTGGGAAAGAGCTGGAGAAGAATGTAAATAATTCTTTATCTCTCTTGTTATTCACATTATTTATAGTTAAGTTCTATCACTGTGCATCAAGCATTTTGCACCAATGGTGTGGATTGTTTTCACTTCAGAACCAGTGGAGTTGGTCCTCACAAAGCTCTGTATAAAAGAGCAGTGTATTTTGAATAAATCAGAGTTTTACTCTCAGCAGCCTTCTGGTCAGAGTCAGTCTCTTCATTCCCGTCCTGCCTCGCCAGCGGCAGATGGCATTTTCAGGAATGCCCCTGAGCGGGCAGCAGCTCTGCCCTGTGCTGTCCTGGCTGCTGCCAGAGCTGCTGCAGGCCCCTCACCAGTCTGTCGTGCTTGCAGGACAAAGCATCAACCCCAAGCTGGCGGGGCTGATCGGGAGGCACGGCCCCCAGAACAAGCAGCCCTTCACCGTGGCCTTCTTCAAGGCCACCGAGGTGCACCTGCGCAGCATCCGCTCCACCGGGGGCAAGCAGAGGAGCCAGAACAGATCCAAAACACCAAAGAACCAGGAGGCATTCCGGGTCTCCAACATTGCAGGTACTGCACGGCTGGCTGGGGCTGCATTTCTGCCTCTGGGATCATGTGGGAACGGTTTCGCCCACATCATCTGTTTCTTGTCCCTTTGCTCCACCACTGGTTTGAAACCGTGTGGGGTTCGGGTTGCTCCAAAAATGTCAAGGAAAAGAATGTGTGTTTAAAGTGATGTTAAACTGAGGGATTTCTTAAGCCAAATTTTAAAAATATGCCAAGCACCTAACCAGAAAAACTCCGTTTCTCCCATATGAAATAAGTTCTCGTTTTGAAATCACTAAAGTGATCAGTGTATCTGAACCCAAATGCTGTTCATGTTCAGGGCTTGTGATTTTAAGTTTAGCCCCTAAAAAGCGTAGTAGTCCCAAAACTCTTGCATAGAAGAGGAAAACCCATTGATTCTCAGGATAACCATGGCTATTCTGGGGGAGAGCTGTGCTTCCTAATTTGGAAGAAAACTCCATCAGGCATTTGAAATAGAAATGTGGCTTAATTATGTGATACCTCAGAGGAATGGGCCCTTGATGAGGATCCCAGCAGGAGCCACAGCTCAGGGCTGGCTCTGCTGAGGCAGCAGCAAATTCCAGCTGCTTCTGGGAGTGCCTCACTGAGTGGAAGCAGAGGTTGTGAGGAGCGGAATAAAAAGGAAAACAGAGCTTCCAATCATATTTTTATAGAATCATTAAGGTTGGAAAAGACCTCCAAGATCATCAAGTCCAACCTTTGACCAACTCCCACCTTGTCAACCAGCTCAGAGCACTGAGTGCCACATCCACCTGCAGAGATGGGGACTCCACTGCATTGCTGGAAGCTCCTGTCAGTGCCTCACCACCCTTTCTGTGTTGAAATTATTTCTGGGCTGTTTTTTCTACTTGAGTCTTCAGCTCAGCCTATATTTCTAGGATGGACCAAACTTTAAAACTGTACTGATTCTCCTCTTATGCAAAGCCAATAATCAGAGTGATTTGTATGTTGCTATTAGGAGGTCAGAGGAAGTCCAGGGCAAAAAAAAACCCAAAAACAATTAAGATAAGAAAACCCACTTTTCCCAGGCCTTTTTTGGCTTGGCACAAAAAAACCATAAGTGAATTTCATATAGGTTGAACCCAGCTATTATTATATGACTAAAACAGCTAAAAGAGAAGCTGTAAGTGCACCAGACGAGCAGCAATGCCTCACTCCCTGCTGAGGGAGCTGGGGCAGCCCAACCTCATGGCCACCATTGTCCCCTCACAGAGAACAGCAGCAGTGACCAGCGACAAGCCTGCAAGAAACACGAGCTCTACGTCAGCTTCAGGGACCTGGGGTGGCAGGTAAGGGCTGTTGGTGGCATTCCTGGGGGTGACCAGGCTGGGACTGGGGTGCCTTGGCACATCATTTATCAACTGCAGCAGTGAGAGCCAGCCACCAACTGGATTTTGTATTTTAAATCCCGAAGGGGAAAAATATTGTATACTGCCTTTAGCATGCTTAAGTGCTTCTGCTAAGCTGGGTATACAAATATTTAATGTGAGGCTGGCTGGAGGCTCAACACATTCAGGTCCTTTTGAGGGGCTGTGGCCCTGCAGGTCCTCTGGCAGTGCTGAAGGCACCCATGGCTCTCCATTTTCATCTACCCATTTTTTTTAGACCTGGTTAAAGCTGTTTTCCTTTCTGAAAGCTTGTGTCTGCATTGTGTTGCTGGGTGAAGTGATCCTCGTGGACAGGCAGGACACTGCTGAATGGATAAAAACTGAACCCAGATGTTCAGCTGCTCTGTGGGCGCATTTGCAATTTGGGGTGTGTCCCTCCAGGAAGAGCAGGCTCTTTAGAGGCCTCTATAAGGGCTTTAGAAAGGCCAGGGGGACAGATTTTTATTTTGCAGGCCACTGTAACTGTGTGTATGAATGTTTAGATTTACGTGCTGGTTGGCTTTTTGTTTCACTGCATTTCTGTCCTTCTCCACAATCTAATGGCTTCAACTGAATCAAGGACTGGATCATCGCTCCGGAGGGCTACGCTGCCTATTACTGTGAAGGAGAATGTGCTTTCCCCCTGAATTCCTACATGAATGCTACAAACCATGCCATTGTACAGACACTGGTAGGTGCACCCTATCTCCTAGCACAGGGTTACATCTGACAGGTGCTACTCAGAAATCAATTTATGCTCAACAGGGTCTCCGAGCTGACAGGGGAAGGAGGATCTGCCTTCGCTCTCTAGGTGCCTGCAGCACCTGGCCCCACATGTCTGGCCTGAATTAGGACCTGGCCAGACATGACCCTGTCTTTGCTGCAGGCATTGGCAGGGTATCTCTGGTTTCAAAGGCTCTGTCATAGACACTAATGGGGGTTTAGTCCCACTGCATGGGAAGGAAGGAGCAGGACACTGTCAGCACCTCTTGGGCAAACTCTGTAAGGATCCGCTCCATGCTGCCACCAAAGTGGATTTGGGGTCAGGCTGAGAATCGGTGAATCCCAAAGTTACACAGCTCAGCTGCTGTCTGAGCGAGGGTATGGGACAGGCAGAAGGTTGCCCAGGAAAGAAGAATATGGGGGGAGGAGAGGGGAGAAGTAAATCTTAACATTCCTCTATTTTCATTCCCCAGGTTCACTTTATAAACCCAGAGACTGTGCCGAAACCCTGCTGTGCTCCCACACAACTCAACGCCATCTCAGTGCTCTATTTTGATGACAGCTCCAATGTTATCTTAAAAAAATACAGGAACATGGTGGTACGAGCATGTGGCTGCCACTAGATTTGTAGGACAAAGAAAGAAGAAAGAAAAAGAAGTTCTTTGTAAAGAGTGGGTTTGTGTGGCTGTGTGGGGCTGGGGGAAAGGTTAGTGCTCCAGCCATGGGTTTAAAAAAGTCCCAAACCATTTTAGGACCAGGCCTCTGAAAGTTCAGACAATGGAACAGTTTCTGGATCTAAAGAGGCATTTGAACACATTTTGTTTTAGTTTATTGCAGACAATGAGCTTGTAAACTGAAACAAGCCAGAGAAACCGTTTAAAACCAAATCTGCTTACAAAATTGGCTCCTACAGTACATACTTTTGCAAATGAGTCTTTCTGGAGATTGCAAACTCACCAGTGTTGATTGTGAGTAAAACACTAATAATCTATCCAAGGTGAGACTGTGCTGTGACTAATAAGTGTGTGTAGTTCCTGTAACACGGTTTGCAATAAAATAAGTGAACAAAATATACCTGGAGTGAACAGGTATTTTGTTAGAGAATTATTGCTTCCATCCCTCTGCTTCAATTTTGTAAGCAAAACCAAGGATTAATTACATGCAACTTCCAGTTTTCAACTACAGTAGCAAAAGCTGGATGTGGATTGACACAAATTCAAAGGACAGAGTAGGCTAAGAATAAAATCAATTGGCAAGCAAAAGAACTGAAGAAAAGTGCTTCCAAGAGTGAGAATGTTGGGGTGTACTTTTTTCCTATCAAAAAGGAAGGAAATTTCCTCTTGCAGCTAGAAAGTATTTCAATTTGCTATTAAAACAGGAAAGCAGCAGAATGCTGAGAGACAGGGATGAAACCTGATGTTTAGCTGGGGTGTCCTAAGCAGTTCCTGACTTCCCTGAGGGAGCAAGGTCCAGCCCTGTTCCAAGAACTGGAGACTCAAGTGCAGAAGGTGCTGTGAGTTGGGATGCACACCCAGCACCACACAGACTGGGAACAAGCCAGGAAACTTTCCTTCCTGGGGCCAGTGCTTCTGATAAACCCCCTGCTCTCTTGGCTTCACCTCAAAAAACCCCACAACTATCCCCTTCAAGGGCCACCAAGAAGCTGGAACCAGAAGCAAGAGAATGTCCCCTCAAGGCTTTTCTTTTTCCTTCTTTTAAAGTCACAGGTTACACAAACATCACACTTGAGTAATTAACACTCAATTAAAATTGTTGCAAAGAAGAATACAGAGTTGCAGTAACCAATCACAAACCAATTCCCCACTTTGGCACGCACCAAAGTAGGATTGGTATAAATTTCACCAGGGAGATAAAAAGAAAATAAAGCCCAATAAAACACCATGTCCAGCACACTCAGCCCTAAATCTCCAAACTTCAGAGAGCTAAACCTCCAACAGATGGGTCCAGGACCATCGCTGGAGATGGGTCTGTGCTCAGTGAGCAGATGGGGCCATGCAGCCACAGTAGGGACTTGGCTCCATGTCTTGCCTTAGAGGAGAGTTAGAGAAAGAAGATAAATGAAATTCTGGACTTCACTCACTGCTCTTCTCCCTTTGAGTCACAGATCAAATCCAGACCAGATGCCTCACTTTAAAAAGAAAAAGCAAAGGAAGAAAAAACCCCTACTGTCTATGAAATAAATTGGAAATTTGTTTCTGATGGCCTAGTTCTCATCTCATTTCAGTCAATTGGGGTTTTCCCAGCAGTTTTCTCAGTAGCAGGATTAGGCTGATGGGAAAGGGGAAGCCCATCCATGACATTGGTAGGTTTTGGATGGGGGCCTTGGTGAGCAGCTGCCAGATGTGCCTGGTGTCCCCCAGACCTCTCCAACATCTGCAGGAGCAGCCTGGCTGCAGCAGGCACGCTCCACAGGTAGGACTGCAGCAAACCTCCCCACGGGGAGCCTTTGGGCCAGCACAGCCAGCCACACAGCAGGAGAACAGCTGGAGCCAAAATCCCAGCCCTTGTGGAGCCTGCAGACAGCCCCATGCACCAGAACCAGCCAAACCTGCCCTCAGTGTGTCCCTGCCTAGAGTGAGGAACTGAAATCGCACAGAGAGGAAGCACCATCTGACATTGCTTCCATATACACACCAGTGCTCCTGTCAACCTTCTAAGGGAAGGGAAGGTGCTGCCTAGAACGTTAAAAGCTAATCATGCCTGAACTTCCATTATTTAGTAGTCAAGGATTAGTTTTCTCTCGTGGGTGTTTCAGTGTTGGTGGTCACTGCGTTGGTGTGTTGAGTTTTTAACTTGGACCACGGTGTCTTGCTGTATAGGACTCATATATTAAATATTATGTGGGGATTGTTTCTGTTTTGGTTTTTTGTTGTTGTTCTTAAGCATAATAACAGGATTTCTGTTGCTAGGCTCAACATCAGCTTCACTGTTTGTACATTTTTATGTAAATAGTTGTCACAAGCGGAAGAAGAATTATTTATTTCCATCTCTGAATTCCTTTTCAATCACATGCAGGAAAAATGATTCTGGGTTCCTAAACACATTTGTTTCCTTATTTAAGAAGATATTTATTAACAGTTGGCAAAAATGCATACACATTTCTGGTTCTTTTCATAGAGCAGATGTCAGAAGCCTTTTTGTACAAACTAGCAAAATAAATAATTGCAACTTTACAAAAGATACCCCGACAACATTGTGTATCTGTGTGGTTATTCTCCTTTTATTCAAAGAAGCTTTCTGGCTGGACAATGTTTGATCTTGAGCCTCTGTTTTCATGCAGCTCAGTCTCTATGTACAGGCAAAACCATCACATGTCATTATTTGGGGCAGCTCCTTCGGTCCAAATACAACAGGGAGGGAAGAATAGCAAAAATATGGATGTTTTGCAGTCTGTGCTGCAAAGATCCATGATTGAATTATGGTGCAGCTGTCAGCAGCTGTTTCAAAGAAGCAGGGGGTAAATTAGTTCTGTTTACTGCTAACATAGTTCAGAGATTTAGTCATCCCAATAAAATTATAGAGGCACAAGAAAGGAAGAAAAGAAACTCCAAAGAAACATCGGCCAAGAAGCTGACATTTTCTAATTTAGATTGTTTTAGCATATTTGAGAGATGCTGCTGGCATGAGGTTTCCTACTGTGGATACCACACTGCATTGCTATGGAGGCAGCTGAAAAAAATAATGGTCGAAATCCCTGTATTAACTGGGCATTATATCTTTGGGGCACAACAGCAATTTTGGGGTTCTTGTTTTCTTTGAACTGTGAGCAGAGCTGTGCCAGCTTACATAGATATATTTGCTGGGCGAAAGGATTAAATCATCAGCATTTGGGAGTTAATCTGCCATCTTCCACGAGCAATTACAAATTCATAAATGAATTTGCTTTGTGCACTGCTCTGAGAGTCAGGAAAGCATCAGTGGAAAGACCTTTGTTGATGTAAAATGAGACCTACTCAGCTTCTGTAGGCCTTGACTAAATTTAGAAGGAGGATCCTCTGGTATTTCTCATTGTGGTCCCAATTCTATCCATTTAGGTGTAAGGCAGGGGTGGTGCCAGCAAGGAGAGAAAGAATAAAATAAATATTTTTACTTTGCAGGGCCAGTCCTGCAGCCAACAGCAGCTTTACCACCGAGTTCAGCACATCCAGCCTTGTATCACAAAATATCTGCTGGTTTCCAGCTCTGCCACAGATACACACAACTGGCTGGATGTGCTCTGGAGCAGCTCTCCCAGCCTAGGAGCCAAAACTCCATTCCCAAGCTGGTTTCAGCCTCCCCCTGGTCTGCAGCACTCCTGTGGCTTTGTCTCCTCATCTACTGTTCTGGAAGAGGAATTCTTGACATGAATACATACACTGCCATAAACTGGCAGGGCCATAAAACCCTGGTGAACGAGCTTCCAAACAGCTAGATTTAGCTGGGTAATGACATTTTAAAGCACATTTAAAACATTTTATAGAACAGTTATTTTAGCTTCCTTTCAGGCCAGACTTTGAGGATGTTATGTTTGCTAAATTGAGCTGTTTCAGATCTGTTCCAGTACCGACAAAAAGATGCTTTTGTCCCTATGCAGGAAACTGCCTCTGCTGCTGCCAGTGTTCATATAATAAAAAATAATGATTTAAATAAGCCTTAGTGCAATTTTAAGATTCCTGATTGTTATGGAAGTGTCAGCTGGAAGCCTAAAACCAGAGAGGGACAGCAGAGCTTGCACAAGCACAGCTCAGGGCATGGCCAGGGGCTGCAGGATTCCCTCTGCTGCTGGATTCAGTCCCTCAGCTCTGCCTGCAATGGGAGCAGATACTTCTGGATAAAAATCCCCAAAGACTCATCTTTTGAGTTCAGAGTTCACATCTTCTGTGTGCTTCCCTCCCTGCTTGCTGACTTCCACTGCTGCCACAAACACATTATTCTCAGTATTCAACCTTCCTTCTGAGAGAAATTCTGCCCAATTAAGCTAAAAGGAACCAGTTTGAAGTTTTTATTTATCAGGTAATGATTGACAAGACCTCGAGGCAAAAACTAGGAGCACTTTATACTACAGTCACTCATTACCCACGTACAAAAGCTACAGAAATGGGTTATTATGACCACTTTGAGTTACTCTGTTTTAAATAAAACTGTACATTCCCTTTTTATGCTTAATGCTGTAGAATTTGTACTCCTAAATTTGTATTTGTATTCCTAAATCAGCAGCTGAGAAAGACCAGAAGTTTAGGACAGCAGATTTAACACACTGGTTTCCAAGGGTCCTTTTACCAGGCAATGGGAACAGACTTTTTAATTTTAGGACTTGGAAAGTTGTTTCTTGGTATTGTGAGGTTTACCACTTTGGGATAAATCGGATGTTTTCTCCAACAGAATCCTTGTGTATGAATTAATACATAAATGAAGGCAGCATGATCTTAAAACAGTTTAAGTTTGGCTTTGCATTTAAAAGGAAAATGGGAAGAGCCATAGACAGATTCATCAGATTCACACTTTTCCCCCCACCAGTGAAAGGTACTGGGGAATGTTGGGGGGACAAAAGGGGGCTCAGCCTCACAAACTCTTAGAAAAACAACTTTGCACTTGACCAGCTTTTGCAGGCAGGGTTAAGTATTTAACCCTCTACACGGGGCTGCTTGAATTAACCTCACCCTCAAAGAATTGGCTTGTCTGCAATAAAACCCAACCCCAGGCCAGTCTGCAGCAATTTGGGGAGTGCAGCAGTTGTGTCTGGGGTGAGTATCCACCTCAGCCTCCATGCCTGTGATGAAAACCACGCTCGGAGCCTTTCCAGGAGCTGAGGTGACTCCTGGGCGAGCAGCCCTGATAACTTGGGCCTAATGGGCTTTATTTTAAGCAGCTCTTAAGAAGAAAGGAGGGGATGCCAGGAGCTCAGTGGATCTGTTGTGCTTTAGTGTGTCAGCACCTGGGGCTCCAGCCCAGCACGATGGGGTGGTGCTAAATTTCCAGAGCAGCGCTACAGGTTTGGGGGGTCACTGTGGTTGTGGAGTGCAAAAAGGGCCACAGAGGCTCTCTTGACCTGGCTCCCCACCTTCCCTTCCATTGCACGATCTCTCCACTAAGGTCCAGAGTACACAATAGCCCCAGGAGTGCAGACACTGATGGGGACACCAGCAAGGTGACCTTTGGCTTGGCCAATGAAGGAGAACTCTTGCAAGCTGCTGGATTTATTCCCATGCTATTTGCTGCTGCTGTGTCAGGTGCTTCCTATAAAATATGTGGAAGCAGAGACATTGAGTGTCTGGATTCAGTTAGGAGGGGTCAGAGCTCAAAGATATCATTTCTCAGGTCTCAACAATTTAAGTCGTTTTGCTCAGTGTTTAAAACAAGCTGTAGACAAGAGCAGAGCAGTCACTGGCTCTACATCTTCTGCCTCAGACTCTTTAAAAAGAGAGATTTGGGCAGCTGCTTAATGGGAACAAATTCCTCATTTTAGCTTCTATCTTAGACTACATACTAAGCACACAGAAAAGGAGAACAAATCAACATATCAACTGATCCAAAACTGACATGTGAGGAGCTTTGCTTCTGATTTGTTTATACATTTCTCACTGTGATCTGCTGCCACTGCTGACCTGTATTTGTCTCCTGAAGTGAGAAACCAGCTCTTAAATACACTGAAATGAGTTGTTCTTCCTTAACAGGGAATGACCTGAACTGCAGTTTTAGGAGTTAATTACTCCAAGGTTAATTACTCCAAAGATGGATTTCATGACACCTCAGGGCTAAGTTTTAGAGAAGACAGCAAGCAGAGGTAGAGCCAGGCCTCTGTGAGAAGAAAAAATGCAGCTACTGCCTTTTCAATTGTACAGCCAAGTTCTGAAATCATCTTGCAGGGCTCCCCTGGAAACCCAGCCAGTGGTTCTGGGGAGAAGGAACACGTCACTCACAGAGATTGGGCCACCATCAACCTGGAGCAACTTTAACCAGGAGATCCTTCCCCCTAACACCAAGGCAGAATTTCTTTTTTTATTCTAAATCAGAAAAATGCACAAGTGATTCCAAGTTCAGCCCATGAGTTGTTTTGGTTTCACATGACTACTGAGAAATCAACTGTAAAAGCTGGTGCAGTTACATACACACATACCATGCACAGAATGTGAACTGTAAATACTGGCAGGGAGTCTGGTATAAGAAGCTGCAGTTAATGTTGTGTCAGAACAGCCCTTGGAACCCCCATTTCCAGAGACTTACAGTGCAGGGGGTAGGGAGGGAATAAATCTGATTTTGCTGGAGCTTTGCCTACAACTTCTCAGCCATAAAGCCTTTATTTATGGCTGTTACTCAGCATGAAGGATTCAATTTGTTCTTTGTTATGAATTTCAGTGGATCATGTAACTGTTTATTTCCAGATATTAAAAAAAAAAAAAAAAGTTGGTATTTTTGGTTTGCAGGAAAAAACAAACCTCCTCATAGTCTATATTAGTGGGGATGTACTTAGACCACACTTGATAGAGACAGGGGATCCCAAATTTCTTCCTTGGCCAGGAATGGCAGCAGCCCCATCTGAGAGCTGCTGGAGGCACTTCTTCCTGGGAGTAGGTGGAAAAGCATAACCAATTCAAGGCACAGACTGGATCAGCTCTTCACAGCTTTGAGAGATTTCCTGCTTCTAGTAGCAGCTGAGAACAAGATGCTCAATAAAAGAAAAATCACAGCCAAAAAGAGCCGTGTGTCTCCAGTGACTCACTGCACTTTGCAGTGGCAATGTGGAGTCACAATGACAGTCCTGCTAATTAACACTTGATAAGTGTTCCCTCTTCAAAGAGTTTTTATTGATGTCAGTTAAAAAGGAAGATGTTTGTATTTTGCATTCAATTATTTCATGTTTCTCGTCTGGCTCAAGAACAAGCCTTGAGAAACCTGGTTTTTTGGGCAAGAGGTAGCAGGCTCGAGTTAAAAGGAGATGGAGGCTCCTTCCTGGGAGTTGTGGGAGAGTGACAGCAAATTAAGCCCATGGGTTAAATATTATGTTCTCCAGATGGGAGTGACAGTCTTTGAGGAAGCAGATCTGGTTTTCTGCTGCAGCACCTCTCAGAAAATGAAAAGAAAAACATCTCTGCTAGCACTGCAGGATACTGGAGTGGCTTTTGCTTCATTTCCAGACCGTGTGTCAGACATACCCTGGTGTCTCCTCGAGTGTCCTCCTTCCCTTTATCAACAGAGGTGGAAGACCAGG